TATCATTCTTCAAAGTCTCATTTTCGTTCTTCAAAATATCATTCTCATTCTTCAAATTCCCATTTTCTTGCACCAAATCAGTATTTTCCTTACTCAATTTCTCATTCTCTCTCTTCAGCTTATGTTCCCTGTCTTTTAATATTAAAAGCAACTCCCTTGGTCTGCCCTCGATTGTCTCTTCACCAGGAAGAAAATGGAAGTACTTGCAAGGTTTTTAACAAGGTTAAATCATTAAATCAAAAAAGAAAATTCAGTGCAAATGAAATTAAGTTTTAGGATAGAACATACCACCAACTTAGGGCACCCACGAAACCTTTTTCCCATGTTCTGGTAAGTGAACGACGTTCGCACCATAGCATTCAAACCACAATCACAGATATATTGTACGGATTCACCCCCACTAGCAGTAGAGACAACACAACTTGAGCAACTCTCATCACGAATTCCCTGCATTTGGGCAATTCCTCAAGTTCCCCTGAGAAAAGAGAAAAAGAAGAAGAAATGGGTTAAGATCGAAGAAGTGGAGATGAAAGAGCAATTTAGGGTTTATAGGAGTAATTTATTGGTGCTTTGGCAGTCAATGTGGGGCCCATTTGAGTTTGGCGCCTTTGACTTCGTAGGAAGATTACATGGCAAAACATTTTGTTCATATCAGCACTTTTCTAAATTTTACTCTCCACGTCATCAAAAAAAATATAAAAAATGTCACATCGGCAGAGTTAACGGCCCAAATTAATAGAAGGACTAACGAAGTACATTTCATATAGTTGAGGGATAAAAAAAATGCAAAAAATTGTTAAGGGACCAAAAATGTGCAACTCACTAAAGTTGAAGGACCAAATTTAGCATTTAACCTTCTTCTTTCTTCTCAGTTCTCCCTTCAAAACCACCATTATTACCACATTAAAAAAAAAAACCCACATTTTTTTTCTTTGATGTTTAAGGTTGTCCTCTTTGTGAAGAAATTAAGTGAGAAAGTCAATTCAGTTACATAGGGCAAAGTGATAAAGATTATATATCACCTTACCATTTTTTTTATATTAACTTCTCAGTATCTGATAATTATATTGAGTTTCGATTAATCCGGAATTAGATCAAGTTGAATCTCATTAAAAAGAAAGCTCTCTCAACGTTTGTTTTTTCATTCACAAAATTTGAACTCGAGATTTTATTTAAGTAAACCAAACTTCTTCCATTCGAACCAACAGGTCGTTGGTTATATCACCCTACCATTAAGAAAAAGAAAAGCTGACTTATGTAATAATGATAATGTCAAGGAGTATTGAACAATTTTTGGGATTGGATCATGCTGGG